AAGCAAATATAAAAATTAAAAAATTGAATACAAGGGAAACCCGATCTATCCTACCTAGCCTACTACTTCTAACTAACTAGACCCAAATATGGTGGATTCGTAACCCTCCAACTCAACACGTGTCCACCGATTTATTTATTATGCAGCTGAATTCTACGCCCCGACACATGGCAGAAGTTAGCTGCAGCACGTGGCCTTTAATTGTCAACGCCTTTGTCCTAGGGCGGCCAGGGTAAGGACACAAATGATTTAATAATAATAATAACATTTGATTAATTAGCAGCCGACCAATGGGAGGCAGCATTTAGATGTGGTGACGCCAGGCTGACGCGTGGGAACACGTGGAGGTGGGTGATTGGCTGGACGGCTGGCGAGCTGGCTTTTAGTTAGGTGTGCTTCAAGTTTTTGCCTCTTAATTTGCCTTACAAGGGAATGTGTGTACACAGCACAAATGTGTTGCTCATATCTCCATGGATATGGGCGGGTGCGTCTTACATGGAACATTAGGTCTAGTCATACAATATCAACTCATCAAGATTTGTAGTTGAATTGACTTGCCTTAAATGCTCGAACCGCAAATGAATAGATTTGCAAAGCAGACGATCAATCCATCTTCAGTCACATGGATAGTTTTGCAAAGCAGACATTCAATCCATCTTCAGTCACATAAATATCGATCTATTTAAACCTGCAGTCAAAATGACTTGCCTCGAATATTCGAACCGAAATTGGATTGACTTGCAAAATAGACATTCAATCTATTTTCAATCACATATTATCGACATCAAGATTTGCAATCGAATTAACTTGCCTCGAATGCTCAAGCCGCGAACTTACAAAACAGACATTCATTCCATAAAATCAAATCAATATGCATAACGTCTGAATCCCCCGAACGTAAATACTTCGACATTCACTTCTGATACCAAATCGCCAATGATATTTTATTGTAGTGAAAAACAATATGTTATAAAGTAAAATCGAATCTTTTATACAGTAAAACCTCTATATATTAATAATGTTGGGACCAGAGGATTTTATTAATTTATAGAGATATTATTATATCGATAAATTAATAATTTATTAATTTAAAGAGGTTTTAATGTATATGCACAGTTAACCTTCAAAATTCCAAATATAACTTTAAGTATACATGCTTAGTTATTGATGAAAATTAAGTTAAAATATAAATGTATTATTAAAATTCCATGAACACAAACTCACGTAGAAATTGGAATGGCTTGTTTAAATTAATTGGTTTTGAAAAATACAAAAATATGAAATCAACATAGATTTGAAGTTTAAGAAAAAGCAAGTTACAGTAAATTCTTATTTTACTAAATTGTCTTAAGAATCTTTAAGTGCATCATATATATATATATATATATGGATTATTTTTAATAATTATTAATTTATAGTTTCGTCTAAATCAATATATATACACTGGGATCTCAAAAAAATTATTATCTTATAATTTTATTGATTGAGTCCTAAATTTTTACTGTTCACAACTTAACACTGGACAAATTATTAGTTTTAGCGAGGTTATTAATTTATTGAGTATTAATTTAACGAGATTTTACTGTACATAAGAATTAATTCATGATAGAATTTCCATTAAAATAGAATAGTAATATACTATTACACATAAAAGATCATATTTGTAATAAGTCTTAAATAAGAATGTCTAACCATTAGACATATATACTCTCCAATAAATATGTATATTTTTATACACAAATGTATCATACTATAAATACAATATATACAAGACATTTCATAACTGAATTATGATTGTTCATACAAAAGTATACCTGCCTAAAGTGAAGCACACCATTTATGATTTACATTTACACTTTTATTCGATCATGTGCACATGCACATGTTTAAATTATTATAAATTACATGTATGTATATAATATTAAAATTATAAGTTAGATAATGTATAGTATCACATTTTAAAACTTTTATCATTAATAAAAGTTATTATAAAAGTATTCAACTTCATCACTATATTGATTACATAAAATGAGATAAATAATATAGTTTTTATATATTTCAGGGATCATGACATATTAACTATATTAAAAAGTATTATTATTATTATTATTAACGAAAAAAATTTCAGTTACTGGTTTACAAAAAAATATTAGATTGTAACGAAAAAAGTCAAAAAATTCAAATAATTTCATTTGTTTTATTAAAACATTTTTGGTTATATATATATATATATATATATAAATATATATTTTCATTGATTAGTGAGTTGTTTAAGGTTTTAATCAAAATACAAAATAAAAATAAATAAAAATATGTATTTGTAACTTCTTTTGGAGGAAAAATAAATGAGGTTTTATTAATTGTTTTGTTAGCAATTATATATATATATATATATTTAGATATGTTATCAATAGAGTGATCAATAAACCTGATTGGTTCAAACATATAAGTAAAGATAGATATAATTAAAAGTTCCCTTTGAAATTTACAATATATGTTCTTATATTATGTTACGAAAAGTTAAAATTGGTACATCCAATGAAGTAATTGTTGAATCATTGTCCGACATTATATAATGGTTGCATGCACGTCACGACATGTTGATTGATCACCATTCATCACATCCATTACAAATATCTTTGTTGTCTATTTTGGATTAACACAGTACATGAAGAGTTGGGCTTTGTGGTTGGCCCATTTAAAAGGTAATGACAGTTTCTTGTGATTGGCCCGTTTATAGGGTACTGCAGTTTTTTTGTTCGTAGCGTATATTGGGTTTAATTATGGTCCAAGACTTGGCCCATGTCACGTTTCAAACTCTTTTTGCTTTCCCTCCCACGAAATCCCGTTATAAACCCTAGACCAGATTTGGGGTGCCAATTCGAATTTCAAATTCTCGTTCTCAAGCTCGAGGTAATTAATTTCTGATTAATTTCAACACCTCAATCATTTTTGGGATTCATTTCCTGTTTATGCTTCCTTTTTCTTCTGTATGTTCTGGGATTTTGGTTGCTTGCTTTCGCCATTGACGAGCGCTGTTGAAGTTTTATGAACCCATGTCTACTATCTGACCGTTGTAAGGAAAAAAATTTGATACTTTTCCCCTCAATTCAGGGTCGCAACTACCCATCTCGGAAGAAAAGAATGGAAAATTTGACACTGGAAAAGACCGCTAAAGAAATGTCAAAAAGCATGGAAGCTTCTTCTGAGACTGATCGCCTTGAAGGTGATTTTTCGTCTCCAACGCCGGTAAAGACAAAAGAACCATCACGTGTTAAGAGCAAGGAAGAGTTGGCGAAATTTCCGGAAAAGTGAGCTAGGGATTTAATGTTTTACTGAGTAATGAATATTCCCAAATTTAATGGGGGAAATGTGCTTTATGTTTTTTCAGGTATGAGATGTTATTTGAATTATTTGAGCGAATGACAAGTTCATTGAGGTTGCTATGTCTGCGTAAACGGATCCCAACTTTTCAAAACATCCAAACTCAAGTGGAAATTCTGACTGGAAGGTAAATGGTAGCTCTTGTTTCTGTGTCTTCTTTTGTTTATACCTTCGTTCGTATTCTGGTTGCATACTCTATTACAAATTACAATTGGCATGTACACAAATGGGTGCAAGGGTTGTGCTCCCTCGGTTTTCATATTTATATGGAAGAAACGATGGCGTTGGCACCTAGTAGACAATGTGCCTACTTTTTCAAACTGTCTGTTGACCTCTGAACTTCCTGCTTTAAGCATTTTCAAGCAGCATTGTTGACCATATGAATCAATTATCACTTCTCTGAACTTTTTTTGGACCAGATTTTTGTGGTGTCTGTTGATGTCTACTTTCATGTGAACATGTCTTTGTACCTCCATACCATATGATTTCTCGAGTTGTATGTTTCACTTAAATCTCTGTTTGTTGTTAAATCGATTTCATGACATCTTTGCATCAGGAAATTCCTGCTCACGCATCTTGCACAAATGAAGTCTATACTTCCCGAAGCAGTTGAAATTGAGAAGATTCTCGTACATGATGAGAAAACCAAGTGTATGAAGCCAGATATGAAGATTGCATTGCTCTTAGATGTTGTAAAAGATCATAATGAAGAATCCTCATATATAGCTCTGGGAAAGGTTTTCTCTTCCAGGCTACGTGAGTTTTACATATCACACCCTGAGGTAGTGTCCCTTTTCTTCAACTGAATCATTTTGGAAATGAGAAGATGCAGTCCATCTATATACCTCATTTTTAGTTGTGTAGCTCCCTTGGATCCAATTGTTAGTGAATTTTCCTATATACTGTTCAAGGAAATTACGATTGATCTCTTTCTGTTCAAGGAAGGAGCAGAAGTCAACCATTTACACGAGTTCGGTTCGTTTTATGCCCCCACACCCGAAACCAATGACTACTATGTGCTCTAAAACTGTGGTTTTGTTATTTGTCACCAGGGTAATGATGTACCTGAAGCTGCACTACCGGAGCCCTTCAACCATAAAACTATCAACATCAAGACAGACTTGTTATCTGAGGACCTGTCAACTTCTTCTGAGGCAGCGATATTAAATCTGTCTCATTTTCCACCTTCTTTCAAAAGACGATTTCATACAGAGGCTGCTGCTGTGTCCCTCGAGGCAACTGATATCTCTTCACCTTTGAAATCTGGTTCTGAGGCTAATGAAGGGATTAATGAAGATAAATCTGCATCTGAGGCTAATGGAGAGATTGTTGAAGAGGTTGAAACACTAAAATCACTTCCTAATTCTTCTTCCACTGTCTCTGCAGAGGAAAGTACTCCTGTAAAGCTCTTACTAGGGAGTGATAGTGTTTCAGTTGAAACCCCTGTATTGTCTACTCCTACGAGATCGATTTCACCAACTCGTGCTGTGCTCACCTGTGAGGATGAGGACAAGATGGCAGGGAGCCAAACAGGGAAGCAGTCCACTTCGAGTGCTAAGAAATCGTTAGATTTTTATGGCATGGACAATGAAGATGCTGGCTTCTCGAATAAGCAAAGCACTGTTTGCCTTTCCGAGTTTGTTTGTATAATTCACCAAATATTTCAAGCTGTGAACTTTTGTCCAATCACGAAGGAAGAACTTGTTCAGAAGATTATTATGGACAGTTTCGAGTTTGATGACCGCCGTAAGCTTAGTTGATGTGTCTCATTTGTTTTCAATTCTCATGGGTTATCATCCCTCATTTTTCTTCAACTTCTCGACAGGTCTTTCTGAATAGTTTCTTTTTTCAATGTGATTAGATGAGGTTGAAATGCATATGGAGGGCCTCGAGAAGCTGGTTCCGGATTGGTTTTGTAAGAAATTGGCATGTAGTGGTGACCTTTTGTACAGGTAAGTTTCTTTGTTCAGAGTGTTTTCTTTCAGAAGGCAGTTCTCAGTAGATTAACCCTGTATGTTTCTTGTTGCTCACTTAATTTTTATCAACGTCTAAGTAATATATAGTTAGCTTAGCTAAGATGAGACAATGATT